GCGTTTGGATTAACAACACATTTAAAAGAAACATGTAATATACTTTTCAATTTTACCGGAATCACTTATTTTTTTACTTATAGAGGCTAGATCTGAAAAAAAATTGGCTCTGGTATAAAACAAAATGTATAAAATATTTTATTTGAAAAATTATATAACTTATTTAATGTATTTTAAAGTCGAGGATAATTCTAGCCATACCCATTTTACTGAAAAAAAAAGATACACTATATTAAATTACTAAATAATTCGTTAGTTATTAAGAAATGTTTGTCATAATACAGTGTCGGCTATCGAATGTTTTACAATACATTTTGCTAATGTCCAAGGGAAAATTACAAATAGTTAGCATTGTCCGAGAAGGAATGGAATACTATGGACGTAGCCAGCCGGCTGCGTGGGGATGTATCGCGCCGTGTGCCTGTTCATATTACACAACACACAAGGCAACATTCATATTATTCGTTTCCTGATCGGACTAATGCTCTTTAGTGTTCACTTCGATGCTAGCAAAGCGTACTGGAAAGTGTTTAATACCGGATACTGTATATAAATGCTAAAATCAACAAGTGAAATAAAAATGTGTAGTTTAAATGAACAACTACTTCGAAAAAGGAGAAAAACTGGAACAGTAAATTATTACCACTGGAAAATTATTATCTATGTCTTGGATGACAGCCATAGGACTTGCTCCTTAAATCTTGTCCATAGAAAAGCATAAGATCCTAGTAAAATTATAATATTAGAGGTTATTAACTGAAAAATATAAAAAATTATTACACACGTCAAAATTGGCATCTACATTAAAAGGAGGGAAAACTGAAACAGAAAATTTTCATACTTAAATATTAAAGGCTTTTGCCACTCGAAAAGTATTATCTAGGGCGGGGACCCTTGGGTGACAGCCATAGGCATCCCTACTTAAATTTTGTTTTTTTTCGAGTTTGTTGTATGTTTTGCTTTCCATATTAAATAAGTAAGCACTTAGCCAGGTGACACACTAGAGAAATTGATTGCGTGAAACTTGTTCGTGAAACAGTTTTACATGAAACTAGTTTATCGTTTAGTGCACGCTGTAGAAACCATTTTCAAATTTAATATTACTAAAATATTAAAAATAACTAGTTGCAAATATGCCTTTGGATGAAGCAGATGTAGTTTTATTATGGTGGGCGAACCGCAGACGCCGAAATAGAGTAATTAAGAAAAAAAGACGCTTTTGGGTACATCCTAGTAATCAAATAAACTTGCAACATAGTGCGACCGCCATTGGAGAAGAACTCAGACAACACCCAGATAAGTTTCAACAGTTTTATAGAATGAACCAGGAAAATTTTTATTATCATTTATTAGGCCGATAATTGAGAAAATGGAAACTTATTGGAGGATGCCTATTCCGCCAGAAGAAAGACTGTTAATCACACTAAGGTAAGCAAATAATTTTTAAGATAATATTAACAAAAAATACTACTGAGGGTACTTAAGACAAACTAACTAATGTTAAACATGGTAATAATAAATGTTATTAAACATGGTAGGTATGCTGTTTTATATTTTTGCGAATTGCTAAACGTTGTTCCGTTCAAACCATGCTGATGAGTCATATTCTGGGTTCTCCTGACCATTTTGTGAATGCCCGGTGGTACTACGGAGTCAATCCTGAACATCAGCAGGTTGTGTGGATAACTGATTTGAAACCAGAATACCCTGATAACTGTTTATAGTTTGCCAAGAGCCTGATGTAACTACAGTGCGGGTTGTTAAAATATCATCTATAAGTTGACTGACTTTGCATCTAAACTGTCTCATTTGGTGATTATCCATCTGCTCCAGATCCGGTAATAAGCTCAACAAAAATAGTTGTTTTGGATTATCTAAATTCCGTTTAAGATATTCTATAACGTAAGACTCAACTTCGCAATCTTTATCAGGTTGAAGTTTTCTTTTCTTTGTGGTTGGTAATTCTACCGGTTTTGACTTTTTCAGCTATGGAGTGGCAGCGTTAGTAGGTTGTTCAATCACATCCTCTTTTTCGTTGCGAGGACAGTCTGATTGCCCGTCCGGGTCGATATCTTCAACATATCTTATGTTTTCACCAGAATTGGAATCTTAACTTTCAGGAGATGGAAGTCGTAGCAGATTACTTGGTAAATCTTGACTGTTTTTGACGTAAGGTCTTATAAAATTCATTTCTTTTATCATGTCCCTAGTTTCCTGAGATAACTTCTTAGCTCCACTTCCACTCCGGGGTAATTTAATGGATCTTGTAAACATTATGCGTAATGTCCGCCATGTATCTTTGCATTCTTGGACTGCAATAATATACAAATAAAAACAAGTGTTTTCAGGAAAGTATAATTAACAAAATTAATTTACTTTTTTTCAGATACTTAGCAACTGGAGTAAATTTTAAGCAACTGGGGTTTACTTTTATGAGAGGTGCTTCAACGATTGGAAAAATAATAGAGAATACCTGTGAGGCGATATGGACCGCCCTTCAACCTTTGTATATGCCTGTACCTACAGAAAATGATTGGAAAAGAATAGCCCTACAACTTGCTTTGGAATTTCCCTCATTGCGTGGGATCAATAGATGGAAAGCACTTTCGTGTTCACAAATTTGCTAACACAGGCTCTAGGAATATAAATTATAAAGGTTATTTTTCAGTTCAGCTTATGGCAAGTGCAGATGCCGATGGTTATTTTACTACAATAGATGTTGGTGACCTAGGGCGTAATAGTGATGGAGGTGTTTTTTGGATATCCCGATTAGGCCGTTGCCTAGACGAGGGCTGTCTTTACCTCAATCGAACAATTACCACAAGATGAAAATGGACCAAATATTCTCTATTTTTTATGTGGAGATGAAACATTTCCTTTAAGCAAGTATCTCATGCGACCTTACCCTAAAAGAGTTTTGACAAATAAAAAGCGCATTTTTAACTATAGACTAAGCAGAGCTCGAAAATCTGTCGAGTGTACTTTTGGATTGTTAGTTTCCAAGTTTAAGGTTTTCGAAGGTCCGATGGTTTGTTCCAAGAATACTGTAATATCAATTACAAAAACAGCTTGTATTTTACACAATTATATCCGTAAAACAGAGGAACATATTCGAGAGCCATCAGATTTCACAGAATATCAAGAAAATCAGATCATTGAAAGAGAAAATGAGGAAGATTAAGAAAGAGCTAGAAATCTGACCACAGCTTCTGGGATAAGAGATTATTTGTCTGACTATTTTTTTAATACTTACTCATTACCTTGGCAAAACAATTATATTGTATAAATAAAATACTTTACTAATAATTAGAATATTAAACATATTATAAAAAATTTTAAACTTATTTTATTACCTGATTCATTCATTTCCTGAGCCACTTTTTCCCATGCCGTAGCCACAGAGTCCTTTTTGCTATATTCCGGTAACTGATAATTATATAAACAAGGGTGTTGTTCGACAATTTTAACAAGCTTAATATCAAAATCGGTTTTTTTCTTTTGGCATTTTGATTAGCTACTAGTAATAAAATCCGAAGAAAAATAATAAATTTTATCACTATACCGTCCTCATCGCACGGTAAATATTGCGCAAATAAAAGAATTTTAAGAAACAAGTTTAACAAACAGAGCACGTTGCATTTCGCAAAACTTGTTGACGAAACAATTTCTGGTCTCCTGTTTCCGAAACGCCAGTGTGCATCGTTTCATATAAGTACATGGGTTATTCGATATTGAAACGAGTTGCACGTTTCTTGAAACGACTTTCACGAAATTCGTTTCTCCAGTGTGTCATCCGCCTTACAATAATACAAATTACAATAAATATCGCTGAAACAAAATTAATATTAATAAATAGTATAAATTTCGTAGCAGCAAAATATCGAAAAATTATCACTTGTCAATACTGACACTTCACGCTTCGCTTGTCAAAAACTTCGCCTTTCTTTAACCAATGAACGTGCCGATGTCAGACGTGTCAAAATTCAAATCGATACTAGCGCCTAGTGACTCAAAGCCATTTCTTGAATCCCAGTGACATTACTACAGGGGATATATTGTGTCTGCGTTTCGCGCTAGAACGCCTATTATTTCACATTTGACTAAACATTTTAATTTTAAGTTCAGGAAATAAAAATTTCAAAAATGTAAAAAACTCGCGCCAATTGTATAAAAATTACCAATCAATCAGTAAAAACAAAAAAAATATATTTTTAAAAATAAGGACGTTACGGTCAAAAAACGAAATATATGTGGTATGCGGGGCTTTTAAGAGACATACGTAAATAAAATCTCATGTTAGGGTACAGGCCGTCAAGAAATATTTTTTACGTGAAAAACCAAATAGCCCCGCATATCCCAAATAAATAGCCCCCTTCTACGGTAGTTCTTGAACTTTTAATTTTTTTCAATCTTTGATTTTAGGTACTGAAGTGGTACTTTTAATGCCAAGAGATTAAAAAAAATTAATCACGTTAACAATATATAATCCTTGTTATTTATTGGTTAAATTTAATTCGATCTTCGATCAATGTTAAAGTGCAACCATTTTTTTCAGAAGCATAAGGTTTATTTTTATTTTTATTTTTATTTTTTTTTAAATAATATAACTTTTATCATTCAAAATTTAATCTACGAAGTGCGTATGCGTATATATACCATTTTATATGCCGTGACCTTATTTATATTATAGAAACTTATTTTGCAAAGTATGCCTATGGAATGTGACGATATATCCCCACTTTTATTCAGACAATAGTGGTAGTCGAAAAACATGATTAACCTTAACAATGTTCTTCTCAATTCATTTGATTAAAAGTGATATTTTCAACAACAAATTAATTTTTTAGATACAGGATATAAATATAGTCTAGACAAAATGAGTAAAAGTAAACACACTTTAAACTACTTATTATTTTATTAAAAATATAAACCTTGTTGGTCAACAAGAATCAATTACAATTATTTTTTGGAATGATTAATAGTTGTTATCAAGAAAAAGCTGTTATTTATTATAAATTTATCAAAATCGTGTGAAAAAACTCGTTAAGAAATTTTATTGTCAAATTGATGTCGATGTATTTTCTGTCTTTTTATCTCGAATGTGCCTGTAATTGAAGAAGACGAGTTTCACTTCTTTTTTACGGGTTGGATATGTCCAGTTTTCATAAAAAGGGTAAAATGCTCTAGTAAGTGAACATTTTTAAAGGATTGCGTATATTGATGTGTTTTAAATTATATACATATCTAGCATAAAGTGATAGTGCCCAAGGACTATATTAAAAATTTAAGGAACAGTGCTTCGTAACAATAGAGTCATCTTACTTATTTAAATGATAAAAACATATTTGAATTGTTTAAAAAACAAACAACTGGATTAAAAAAAGGATTTCAGCTTGGACCCCTCCCGGCAAATACTACAGTAAATTTTTCAACATATTAATTATTATAACAAACCTAATTTTCATACTAAATTTAACAAATTTTGACAAATTAATCCTCATTTTTTTATTTAAACTGTATAAATTAAGATAAATATTAGTTATGGGGTTTTGCGTGTGGAATGTCCTTTAGTTTATTAAAAATGCTAAGTTACAGAATTGATAAGATATCTTCTAATTGTTTTTCACAAACAGTTGATTGTTCTTTAACACAAACGTAATTGTAGTGTAATTGAATTGAAAAATGGATCATTGCCAAAGAGTGAAAAGAAAAACGAACCCAAAAGAAACTGCGAACATATTTTCTTTGTTGACTTTTACGTAAGTTAAATATTTTTATTTTAAAAATTGTTCGCAAGAAAACTATTTTTTTAATCTTAATGATCTGAAATTTATTGCTAAATTACATAATAAAATATTAATTGTAAATAATATTGGTACTCCAAACTGCTTTTTATTAATGTTATAACGCATGTAACATAAGTTTTGAGATAAAAATCAAGTTAACACTGTTAAAATTTTTAACTTTACTTAAATTAGTTAAACGGTTAACGATTAACATCATTTCTTGACAATAATATATTATTCAACTAATGGTCCATGGTCTTCTATCCGTCGTATTTTTGTTACAAAGTACTTCATAAGTGATTGGATGGTAAAACAACATCGATTTCCCGAATCTTATGGTAGATTATCCTTCCTGCCTCCCATCCATTATCATAAACTTTCCTGCTTAATAAGACCCAAACTTCTTCAAAGGGGCATGCTTAGGGTACATTAGGTGGATTATTTTCTCTCGGTACAAATGGGACATTATTGACTTCCAACCAATCTCTGATTTCCCTGCAAGGTAAACATTTTCTTCTATTTTTTTTTTAAACTGTCATTAAGGTTATTTAAGTGGTTATTAAACTTATAACATGAAAGTATATAAACTAATATCACAACTATGAAGACGAGAGAGAAGGAGACGAATCAGCAATGGTCAAATTTCAAATTTCCGTCCTTTTTATAAAATTCGCGAAATTGACTGCAGTTGGCATGTCGAATAACAGCGGTGTAAATTTTTTATGTAAGTCAATGTAAAATGAAGTGATTTTTTCGAAAATTGGTGAAAAGAATCAAAATAATATGAAAAAAAGTACCTGAGTACAAGTAACATGATTAACAAAAAGCATCAGAGCAAGATTTACGTCGTTCCAGATTGTAAAACAGGATACAAATCAAATGTAAAACACAAGGAGAAATCAATTCAATGTCTTTTTAAAACTTCTAATGTAAGTAAAATAATGTATTTGTCTAAATATAATATTTATTGTAAATTAGTCACAATATGTATCTTACGGAGTGTAGTTTATTTTATTACAAGTTAGTATAATATAAAATTTTACAGTACATTAAATTTAGCTTACTAGAAAAGAATATTTATTTTTCATAGAGTTTTAATATTAGATAACTGTTATTTTTTTGTGCGCATGCGTTAGTTATCAGCGATCTTTTTCGTACTGTTTTTGTAAACAAGCATGTTAAAATGCCTACGTGAAAAAAATTATAGTGGATAAATCCTAATTTAAGTATATTCATTCAGAAAATGAAGAAAATATAAAGTAATAATAAGTGTCTTAATTGAAAAATACATTTTTGATGTCAATTATAATCATGTTATCTGTACGGAAAAGAAAACGAAACGGTGTTGTTATGAAGTATGTAAAAGTGACACACGGTAGAATTCATTCAAAGGCATAACATATTATTTTATAAATTTTCCAAAGCTTTGGCTAGAAATATCGGAAAAAGTTATCAAATTATCAGGCAAAATACATACCTATTAAAACATGTTCAAAATGCGCAAAAGGTTTTCAATCGATTGATGATGTTATTAAAGATACTTATATTTGTTCACTACATTTTCATGGAGAAAGCGGTCCAACTGCAGAAAATCCTTATCTGGTATTACCTACACCATCGTTACTAAAAATGTGGTGGTCAGCGGAGCCCTCGGGCTCTGCAAAGCCTTTGTGGGGGCTCCGCGAAGAAAATAATAGTCATAATAAAAAAATATACAGTTTTATCGCTACAAAGGAACTTGGCTTAAGAACCTTTTTTTTAGAAGTCACTAAGAGGAAGGAGGATAGATTTTGAAGACTTTTTTGTGGGAGCTCCGCGAAGAAAAGGGAGGGACCTGGTTAGAGGCTAGAGCAAGGAGGATTTTGCTCAGAGGACCTTTTTTCGCGCAGTTCGAAACATTCTTGAAGACGATCAACGAGTTACGGTATCAGAAATTGCAGAACAGGTAGAAATAAGTTATGGGAGTTGTCAAACGATCATCACAAAGGACTTAGAGTTCCGTAAAGTTTGTGCTAGATGGGTCCCTACCCTTTGGAATAATGGTACCAGAAATTTAGACGTTTGGAGGTCTGTCAAAGGCTTGCAGCAAGGTTTGCGGAAAAAGGTGATTAATTTTTGAGGCGTATTGTCACCTGCGATGAGTCATGGGTCCACTACTACATTCTAGAGTCGAAACATAGCAGTATGAAGTGGCGGAAAAAAGGGGAGGCAGCTCCAGTGAAAGTCAAAACTCGACTGTCAGCTTGCAAGGTTCTCTCAACAGTGTTTTTTGACCAGCAAGGGATTTTGTTCATTGATTTTTTAAACGAGTTACACGCACAATCAATGCTGCTTACTACTGCGAGCTATTGACTAAGATGAGAGATAAATATCGTAGCAAAAGACGAAAACAACGGATTCGAAAGGTCATCCTTCTCCATGACAATGCCAGACCACATACTGCAGCTCTAATAGGCTCAAAACTGGAAGAATTGCACTGGACTCAACTGGAACACCCTCCCTACAGCCTGGACTTATCGCCCTGCTATTTTCATTTGTTTGGGCCGCTTAAGGAAGCTTTAGGAGGGCAACGATTTGACGATGACGCAGGAGTTCATGCGCAATTAGCTGCTGACCCAACCAATTTCATTTTTCGATGCTGGGATGAAAAACCTTCCCGTGCGCTGAGAAAACTGCATTTATAAAGGGGGAGACTATGTAGAAAAATAACTATTTTTGTCTTTCACCGTTTAATAAATACAGTTTATTTAAAAAAAAAAATCGTTTATATTTGACTAACCCTCGTATGATTAAAAATGTCATGTTGATCCTTAAACTAATAAATAATTTATTTTATTACATATACTCAAGAAAAACTTTGATGTTAATTAAAGTGTTTTTGCAAGTACTAATATTGGTAGGCATAATTATTACAGTAAACAAGTATTGATACACTTAACCTCTCAATCAGAACACTTGTTTGCCTTGTTGCAAGACACTTTAACCGCCTTTTCAATTGCTCACGACTATGTGCTTCCACAAAGTTTTAAAAAACTTAAACACCATAAACGATTTTTACTAATGATTAATTTGTCTGTAGATATATTATTGCTTTCCCAACATGGCTGCTGCGCTTGCGCACATTACATGATGTGCGCAAAATGAAAAGTGAACTGCAAAAAACTCTAACCTAATTGTTTGTTGTTTCAACATTCAGAAAAACATGAAAAATCTCATTTTTGGAAATGAAGTGAAGTTAGGTACATAAATACTTTCTTCCATTCGTAACAGCCAGCTTAACATCTTCTGTAATCGACACCTACTGTTATTTCAATGTGTTATCTATTCCCTGTTAACATGACATAACAGATTCGTTTTAAAATTAAAGTAAACGTTCAATCATATGACCCATTATTAGAAACTGAAACTACGTACAAATAATTAGGCGAGCAACAAAGCTGTCAAGTTTTCCGCTCGGCGAGCGACAAAGCTGTCACTTAATGTCAGCGGAAAACGTCAACTTTGCGGTTGGATTTCCAAGCGCAAAAGCCTACTTTGGATAGTGATCGTAGAAAAATAATATTAATTCACGTTGTAAACTGTCTTTTTGAATAATTATCAGACTAGAAATTTAAATCTCTTGGAAATAATTCAAGTTTGAATATCTTTCTAAATGTAATTAAAAATCTACGATTGCAGAAGGAGATTAGGTACTTTCTTAAATAATTAATCATTTTAAAAACGTAAGTCAAAGTACAAACAAATTTTAAAAACTGAATAATTTGAAAAATTCGGAAATAAACCTCTAAAATCCCCCTACCAATTTTTAAAACCATCCCCGAACCCCAATCGTGAAAACAAATACTTGGAGATTTAAAAGATGTGAAGTAGTTATTACTATTGAAAACAGGGTGACCAATGATGTTTTCCTCAAAACACAAAATTAAAGTTGGACTGCCTATTGAAAATAATTTAATACTGTTTTACTTTGGATATAAACCATGCTTGTTGTGGTATTAGCCAAAATAGTGGCATTGAGTTTTAGATTCTTTTTTTTTTATTTATATAATTTCTTATTTGTGTCATAATTTTCTAGTACTAAACTATTTAGTAATACTATTTGAAGAAGTTTATTTGAGACTAATGTTTGCATAATTATTTTTTATAAAACTCAGTTGTAGTTTGTGTTTATAGTTGTATATCATAAGTTAGTAACTTACAAGTCAAAAATAAGTTTCTATCAATAGACAAATACATTATCTATACATATATCTTTTTGATTCAATATGTTGTGCAACATAATATTTTGCTTGAAATAATTTGCCCAAATGTGTTACGTATAATTAATTTTCTGACATGATTTTATATTATGCAATATATTTAAAACGTAATTTGATAGGAATCATTTGTCAAAATTTGTTATGTATTATTTTTTTTTATTTTGTAGATATATAGGTGGAATTTTAAAAAAAGGTTTCAAAAAAGACTTGGAGGAAGATGATCTCTATGAAGTTATCCGATGCTGCAACTCGACAAGGTGTGGAGGCAAGCTGGAAAAATGCTGGAACAAAGAAAAAGAAAGAAAACGAAATAAAGGAAAACCACTTTCTATAAATAAAATACTTTGGAAAAGATGGGGGAAAAGATATCTTCTTTTCGGATGTGTAGATTTTACCTGGCATTCTATAAACAAGTAAATAAAAATTATATAATTATAATTTTAGAATAGAAACAAAAAATTTAATTGAGAGAAAGTAGAATGTTTGTATCGGCGAGAGAAAAAATTTCAGTGCCATAATTATTTGTGGCTGTGGTCTAATTGCTAAAGACGCAGATGACTATACTCGAAAGATCCAGGTTCGATCCCTGGCTGGTGTACTCATTTTTTCTTTCCACATAGTTCATAGCCCTAATTAAATCTAATCTTAAAATTATAGGTCGTAGAAAACATATTGTAAGGTACCTGTGGCAAATAAGGTACGGCGCCTCATAAAGCCCAAAAATAATATCTCACAAAATAGAAACATATTATTAAACCCCCACTACGAGTCAATCATATCCGCCAATTTCAACCCCGCTGAAATTTAGAATCGTCGTCAGTACTATCCAAGGTTTTGAGCATGTGTGTATAAATTTCGCGTGCTACGTTTTGTTTACGATTTAGTGTTTCTAACGATTTTTTATTCGGCTACTACTGCCAGTGGTGTTTCTCAGTCCCTACCGCATATTTCGACAAAAAAATAATTGCGAAAAGGTAAGAGATTGTTAAGTTTTTTAATTTATAACTTTTAATTGTCATGTCGGCTATTAAGGCCCATTAATATTCTGCGATTAAGGTCCAGGCCTTATTAAACGATGATAAATGTTTTTCTTTTTATTCAGATACTTACAAAGAATATGCCTAGACGACGTGCACAGTGGACCTCAGACCAGATGCAAAGGGCTATAAATGCGGTAAATAACGGAGTACTGTCTCAAAGGGAGGCCGCAGATCTCTACAGAATCCCCAGAACGACGCTTAGAAACCACCTTAAATCGGGAAAGGTAGAAAGAAAGTTAGGCAGGGCTGCAGTACTGACGAAAGAACAAGAAAATTAATTTGTTCAACGAATTATTCGTTTATGTGAAATTGGACGAAACCCACAACTTTCTAAACGGAAAGCTCAATTAATGAACCCAGGAAGAGCGCAAAAGTTGAACAAATATATTGTAAACGATTATTTCACCAAGCTTTCTGAAATTTACCAGGAAATGGATATTCATCAAAACCCTCAAAACTTGTTTAACATGGATGCCGTTTGACTGACCATCACCAGCAACAAGTAATTGGACAAAGGGGTGCGAAACGAATTCACATGGTAGCACATGAGCACGCTGAAAATGTGACTATTGCGGGGTGTTGTAATGCACTAGGAAACACCATACCCCCTATGGTTATTTTTAAAGGGAAAAGGTTGAAACCAGAATGGCAAGGTGCTTCACCGGCTGGTACCCTGGTAAAAATGTCAGATAAGGGTAGCATGACAACATCACTTTTCATTCAATTTATTTAACATCTAGCTCGCTACAAAGGTAATTGACCGGCGTTAGTAGTTTTAGATGGAGCCTCTAGTCATCTGGATATTTCTATTGTGGACGTTGCAGACCGTCTTCGAATTAGATTGTTTTGTCTACCTTCAAATACGACGCATGAACTCCAACCACTGGATAAGGCAGTTTACAGATCCTTTGAGCATCAGTGGGATCAAGAACTGCTTAAATTCTGGGATGCGCATTCAGATCGACGTCTTGAAGAGTCGATTCGGTAAAATTTTTACCAAAGTCTGGCCCAAATGTATGACGCCTGAGAATATTATTAGCGGATTTAAAGCCACTGGAATGTTTCCACTTGATCCACAAAGGATTCCAGAGTCAGCATTTGCCCCATCACTTGTAAGCCAGCGCCATTTAGAAGACCCTGAACGACCTGTACCTGATGAAGGAATTCTGCGAGACAACACAAACAGCAGTGTAATTCCGAATATTTTAGAAGTTGATAACGCTACAAATACAACAGATCATAGATCTGAGTCCGATGATGAGTTAGAAGACACCGCTAAATAAGCTAGCAAAAATCGTGAAAGATTAAGCAATAGCAGGAAGCAGTAAGTATGGAGAAAAAACACCAGTAAAAAATGACGAATTACGAAAATCGGGGGAGACCACAGCTACAGATCAAACGTTGACAGACAACATCATGATGGACACTAGTAATGAAGTTCTTAATAGGTCTTTTAAGGAATTGCTTCCTACTCCTGAGCTTTTTGCAACAAAGAATAAAAACAATAACACAGCTGACAGGAAAAAAATCCCTTAATTATAAAGCGCAAGCGGTAACGAAAGACCTTTTTTCATCCGTTAGCACAAAGTCAACATCAGTATCTGCTATCTCCAGGAAGTTTGCAGCAAAAAAATATAAACCTTCAACAGCAGACATCAGGTCTGCATCAAAAGAATCTAAATCTTCAACGTCAATCAGTAAGTCTGCAGCAAAAGAACCTAGACCTTCAACGTCAAAATTTTCGGCTTCAATTTCCTCAAAAAAAGCATTGGACAGTGACTCGTGGTACTGTTTTCTTTGCGAAACTGAAGACAAACTTGACATGAGACAATGTGTAACTTGCGCAAAATGGTGTCGTGAAGCTTGTTTTGTTTGTCCAAAGTGTTGCTAATGAACTATTTTAGAATGCCTTAGTTTCTTTTATAAGCTTAATATTTGTGCCTTTTTTTAGTTTATTTTGTTTTAAAAATGATTTTGAATTTAAAAATACACGTTATATTTTGTGGACCTTTTTAAAAGAATCGAATTTTAAGCAAGGGCCCTATTACCCTCTTGGTTGTATAATAAGGCCCATTGCAGGCATTTTAAAAAAGGCTCAAAAATAAAAAAAAAAATAGAAATTTCTATTAGAAATGTATTCATTTGTTCCAAGAAGCGTAACTGTTTTTGATTATGTGTACTTTCCATTTTATTTTAACTTTTTTTTCAAATAAAATGAGTTTGTTCATTAGGTGGGCTTTATTTGTCTCAGGTACCTTATATATCTTTTTATGGTTTCGGATATTATGCGGCGTCATGAATTCGAATCAAGAATTTTTTTTGGTTTCCATGCATTTTCATCCATTTTTATCGATTTCTCTCAGTTCACTAACAATAATTATTAGAATTATATGGCACCTACGATATCAGGCCATTGTCACGTCGTTTTTCCAATTATTAGAGATACACCGTTTTAACTAAAAGTTCTCTATAACCCATTTTATATGCACATTAAGTATGAAGCTATGTAAATTTATTAAAAACCTCTAAAACAACTGTATGTTTAAATGTTCATGTTCCAAATTATTGTTTCTGTAATTAGATACCCTTTTGTAATTCGCAATAATGTAACCAATTGATCTTAGAAAATCATATAAAGATGATGAAGTTCTTAGTATTACTACCAATATTCAAGAGCAAAAACAATCCCATTTATTCCTGTATCGTATTTTCTTCTAATTACCTCGTTTACCATTCACAATGACTAACTACTTCAAAACTTAAAATTATAACTATTTGTATAAATAATAGTTCAGTTAAAACACCTCGTCTAGATCTTACCAAATCAATCCCTTTACATGTTGATAATTGTATTCTATTTTTTAGTTTACTTAAACCATACGCTCTTAGTAACCTAATAGGATATTTTGTACCTGGTTCCACCATAACAAGAAACGAAGCATATTTCTATGCTTTGACCTTAATCATATTGGACATTACTAATACAATATTTATGCAAAATTATATCCTGTGGGGTCAAACTTTTGGAACTGAGGTAAAGACTGCCTTTTCATCGCTACTTTACAGAAAGGCTCTAAGGCTAGCTCCTGGTGCAGATGTTTCTTTAGGAAATATTGTGACGTTAATTACAAAAGATGTAATGTCTTTAAGAATGTCGATATGGACATTCAATGATTGCTGGATTACTATTATGCAAGTCATAATCATTAGTACTGTGCTTTATATTAGAATCGGAATTGCTTCGTTTGTTGGTATTGGAATTATGATTCTTGCTCTTCCAATACAAGGTAAGATTTTACACTCTATATTATTGGAAAGTAATGTTTCTTTAATCAACCAATTAACATTTAAAATGCTTTTTTTTTTTTAGTATATATTACTAAATGGGTGACTATTCTTAGATTGGACACAAGTAGAAGAACTGACGAAAGGTTGCAGTTAACACAAGAAATTTTATCGACTATGAGAATTATCAAAATGTACACATGGGAAGAATTTTTCACTAAAAAGATTACTAAAGCAAGGAGGTAATTAAATATTTTTTTGTTTTATAAGGGAGTTGTTATTCTTGTACAATTAACTCTTTTTAAGAGATTTTCTATGTTATTTATTAAATCCTAGATTAGGTATTTAAATGCGAAATACTATTTTAAATTGTGACTTTTAATATTAAGCAATAGACAGACTTTGATAACCCGGAACCGATAAGTTTGTGTTTATGTATCTCATGCGCATATCTGTCAAACGCCTTTGAAAAGTGTTAACACATGATAGGTTTTATTGGTTGTAATGCTGCCAGTACTAAATATATTTCACGTACTGATTTCATGAACTTGGAAGTCTCCTTCTAAACATGACCTTCCAAGGCTATTAGGTTGTTCCTTGCCTTCTAATATACTTTTTAAATTTATGATGTCCTTGTTCCCAAATATGTTACCTTATAATTTATGGCTAGGGTATTAAAGCTTGTAGAAAATATATTAGGTATCTGTTTTCATTTTAGATGGTTCTCTATAATCAATTTTTGTCGATTATTTAAATGAATAATAAATGGTGTTTATGTCATGCTTGGGACTCATACTGTTCGTCAATACTTTTAACTACCCCCTCCAGATCCTAAACACAAGCTGTACTTCTAAATAACTAATTAAAAAATGATTTCCATGGGCTTCGTAGACGTACTACTGATGCACGCACGCATGTGTTATGTTTTAACTGTTACTTTTAATTTATTTTTAGGAAAGAAGTAATAAAGCTAGTAGTAGGATACTATTTAAAAATAGTCAATCTTATAATAGGACTTTTATTTTCGAGATTAGGATTTTACTTATTAATTATGGCATGTATATGGACAGGCGTTACGACTGATACAACTATTATCATCTTTGCTGTTGCCACATTTAAAGATCTCGGACACTGGATTAGCCAGTCCTTACCATTCACAATGGGACAATTAGGAGAATTTGTTTCTGCTTACCAAAGAATTATCAAAGCGTTAGAAGCAGAAGAATTGGATCCTGAACATCATCTAGAGCAACCAACAAATGAACCTTTAATTGAACTTAAAAATGCATCAGTAAGGTTTAAAGATCAAGAAATTTTAAGCAATATATCATTTAGAATCACATCGGGGTTAACTCTGATTACTGGAATAGTAGGATCCGGGAAAACATCTTTATTTAAAGCTATTCTGCAAGATTATCCATTATCTGCTGGTTCGTTAGTGACAGATGGAAGAATAGCATTTGCCTCTCAAGATCCTTGGCTGTTTCCTTCTTCTATTAAACAGAATATCTTGTTTGGAGAAAAATTTGATGAAAAAAGGTATATTATTTTTAAATTTAAGCTGAAAGTAATGATAATTTCTTTTAATTTTTAGGTACAACGAAGTAATAAGGGTTTGTGCCTTATTATTCGACTTTAACCAATTAGAAAATGGCGATGAAACGATTGTAACAGATCGAGGATTAAACTTGAGTAAAGGCCAACAATCTAGAATAAATCTTGCTAGAGCTGTATACCGCGACAGTGAAATTTATTTGCTAGACGATTGCCTAACAGCTTTAGATGCAGCTGTTCAAGATTACATTTTTACAGAATGCATTCAAACTTTCCTAAAAGAAAAAATCTGTATCCTTATAAGTCAAACTGCCAGCCATATTGAGAAAGCTGACAACGTTATAATTATGGACAAAGGCTTCATTAAAGATATTGGAAAACCAGACGAACATATCTACCAAGAAGTTAAAAAATTGGTACTTAAAGATGATGATTTGGAAAAAGAAGTAATCGACGATGAAAAAGAAGTTAATGAAAAAACAAAATTGACCGAAACAGAACAATTCACATCTAAAAAGAAAGTTTACAGCGAAATTAAGAAAGAAGGTTCAATTGATTTTGTAGTGTATAAAAAATATTTTATGTATGGTGGAGGAATTGTAATGGTTTTGTTGAATTTTTTCTTGGGAGGAGGCACTCAGTTTACTTCAAGTTATTCTGATAAACTTTTGAGCAACTGGTAAGCTTAATCAACTAAGTTTCTGTATTAACTAGAAAAATGTTTTTTCTTTATAGGATAGATATTAAACAAAATGTTCTAAATATAGAAGCAAATGTAACATCCAACAATTCCTTTATTAATAATCTGGAAACAGCTGTAGAAGAAGAAACTTTTATTTTTAGAAAATATACTATATTCCTATTCGTTTCAGTCATTTTGGAACTGATCAAACATTACGCGATGTTGGATTTCACTCGAAGAGCTTCAATTAATATACACAAAGCCATGATTAAAAAAATAATGAACGGTGTCATGTATTTTTTTGACACTCATTTAATTGGAAATGTTTTGAATAGGTTTTCTCAAGATATGGCGAATATAGATGAAACCTTACCATTTGTTATCGATGACTGCTATAGTGTAAGTAAACATTAAATGTTAAAAAAATTATTTGTATTTTTTGATATTTAGTTTATTTTAAATAAACCATTTTCATTTCAGGTATTTTTTAGCGTTGCAGGTGGAACACTACTAATAATATCGATTAATTTAACATTTAGTATTTACGTAGTGTTTATGTGTTCTTTGCTAATTCTATTAAGATGGTACTATATACCTTCAGGACGAAGTTTAAGGCGGTTAGAAGCATCAAGTAAGTATTAAAGTAACCAGACCTAATCATTATTTTTTTTATATTTTAAATAAAACAAACTAATTGCAACACACAATATATAATAGTAGACTTAATGATTGTGATTTGAATGACTGATAGGTATAAGTATCTTTCTTGTCCTTGTATAGGTCAGTTGGGACTGAATAGATGCTGATTCCGAAACAATAATAAAAGATTTATTAACTTTATTCTGAACACCTATGAAAGATATATAATTGGTTTGAAATTACTTTGATATAATTTTAAACTTGATATTTCCTTTTAATGAGAGAATATTCAACTGTGGTTTAAAAAGAGAACTTGGAAAGTAAAAAATGCCGGCTTTTGTGAAGTAAGACAACAGGTTCTTTCGTTTGCTGTTGATGCAGTGTGCACCAGTGTAAATTACACCACCTTATTTACCTAGTTCACTTCCTCCTTATTCCTTATACACATGTCGAGTGTTAATTCACTCCTGCTAAATAGCTGATGGGGAAAATATCCACCAGTGGACACCACATCGCCGACAGGGAGGTGTAGTAGATTGTATACTGGGCCAAACGAAAGATATAGTGCATGGGCGGCTCCAGGGTGAGGGGGGGGGACATGGGGGCCATGTGTACTTTAAAAACCATACTAATAATCATTTTACTTTGAGTGAGTGTGGCTACGGCAGAAATTAGTTTTTCAACATTACGAAGGGTAAAGACTTGGTTAAGGGCGAGGATGGGAGAAGAACGGCTGACAGGTCTCTGTCTGCTTCACGTTCACAGATATGTTACAGTTAACATTGAAAAAGTCATCGAAAGATTTGCTAAAAATGGGAATAGACGACTTGAGTTCGTTTTGTAAAGAATATAATTATTATTATTATTATTATTTTTAGTTTTGTTAATAAAGGTTTCGTAGATTTTTTGACTGGATATACTACAAAAATTAACATAAAATACATTAAAATAAATTTGAAATTATCTTTGTTTTTTTTTGTTTTTCATGAACGATTTTTTTCACTAAGGTTCCTTAATTCACGATTTTAATGTGCTACATTTGATTGTATAGAATTATTTATGGTCCTAGTTAGACAGTCTAAATATCCCCCTCCGAAAATTCGACCTGGAGCCGCCCTTGATATAGTGTCCGTTGGTGTAGTTCATTTCTACACCAGTGGGACGAACAAAAGAACCTAATGTGTGCTCGATGTGTTTAGGTGAATCAAAAACCATAGATAAATTATTAAGTAAGATACATTTTTTGAATACATACGACACTCTCAACAAATTGTAGTTCCTGCTCATACTATCAGAAAATGTCGGTTTCCATAAATTTTCGTGAAACGAATTACCCTACTATTGTTAATTGAAATGATTTATTTTAGCAAGAAGTCCAATGATCGGTCACCTGAATGCTACATTAGAAGGTTTAACTACAATTAGATCATGTAAGGTGGAGCATCTACTAATACAGGAATTCGATAAACATCAAGATTTGTACACTTCAGCGTATCTGACTTCTCTTTCAACAATGCGTGGTATAGGATTATTTATGAGCTTGATAACTTCTTCATTTCTTGTTATTGTTTTAGCAAAATTTATGCTTTTCGATTCAGGTAAGTTTAAAATTAGGTATAACATTAAATTTATTTCGTTTTTTATTACTTCAATTGTAATAAAAGTTAGAAAGATAAGATTCTCTTATTTATATAAAATAAATGGCATTATGGCAATTGGTATATGTATATTGTGATGTGGTGTTGAAAAGACTTATTTCAAAAATTTCACTGATTCAGGTTGTATTAACCAGTCGAATGTGTATTGTGGTTTCTGCAGCTTATAATTTTGTCTACATATTTGTGCTATGCAATATACTGAGGCTTTTATAGTACTTACAGTTTTATTTTCCCTATGTAGAATATGTTGACAGCTTTTAGGTTATACATGTACTTATAAAATTATTCCTCCCGTGTAGTAACATAGCCAAAAAAACAACATTATATTTTCAAAATTACCTACATTCCTCGACTATTCTGACGATTAGACAACACTGCATAAATTATTATTTCCTTACTAAATACTTCACGGGGGGAAATTTTTTAGTTAGTTACTTATTAAATAAAAATTACAATTTTCTTATAACAAGTTTTCAATATTGTAAACAAAAAATTAAATTTATAGCATGCAATATTATAAAGTAAATTAACAAAAAATACTAATAAATTTAGTAAAAAACAGAAAAGAAAGAAAAAGTGAGAAACATAAAGGATCAACTCCTTTTTTTTCAACCTTTCAGGCATCCCTCTACCACCTTCGCATCCCCCCTCTCCTTCAGGGATTTCAGTAGGCTATGGTCCAGCCACTGGCTCCTCAGTCTCTTTGGTTTTAGCTGGTTTCACATTGTGCGGACTTCTCCAAAATTAAATTCCTCTACATCCTAAAATAGGAGTAAAAGTTCATATAAACATAGGTCCGAAAACGTTTCGTTTTCGAGATACAGGGTGTTGCAAGTGAAGTCCTGATGGCACATTTTTGTAAATATTTTCTAAAATTTCTTTAGTCACTGATTTTCCAAAGTTAAAAAAATAAAATTTCTGATTCCACAGGCCTACTAATTATTGGTACACTTTCGAATAAGATAACATCAACTTATCACGAAATTTTCAAATGCGTTTCTCTTGAAAATGGTGCGTCCTAGCGAGATGCAACAAAAATAGCTTTTATCCAAATTTTATAGTTAAAAACGGTCAACAAAAAAAACTTAGAGCAATTTTACCCTAAGCCCCCCCTAATTTACACAACTATGAAAATGATCAAAAACTGGGGTTTAGACCATTAATTAGAGCGTAAAAAGGTTAGCATTTGTACAAAATTTCACTTAGTTATCTTTAAACGTTTAGAAAATATTTACAAAAATGTGTCATCAGGACTTCACTTTTAACACCCTGTATCTCGGAAAAGAAACGTTTTCGAACCTATGTTTATATGAACTTTTACTCCTATTTTAGGATGTAGATTACGCTGTTAAAATATGACCGTCTAATTTCGGGACACCCTGTATAGATAGTAATATTTATTGAGTCAAATAAAAATCAATGTTCCAGATGGAAATATTCGCCCTCGTAAATTAATTTTTCGTGCAAAAAATTGTCTATTATTTAACGTACATTCCGAAGACATCTCTTGCGGTATTTTTGATGTAGCTAGAAGCACATACAGAAGGGAACTTACAAAAATTATTAAAGTAACATGATTTTGTAGGATATTCATGGCTTTCGTGTGGGGTTTGCTAGCGCTCTGATTATTTTGGTATCTTTAGTTATTTTAGCATTTTTCTTCTTCTTTAAAATTTGATAAAAACATTTTAGTAGCAATGTTAGTTTAATATAAGTAAACAAAATTAAGTGTATTAATTATATTTGTATTTTTGTTGATTTCTTTTTTTGTTAATAATATTATAGAAACATGTAGTTAGGCTAATGCCTGTTTGTTTCTGAAAATAAATAAATATTACATGTGAAACTATAACTGACAGAAAAAAGCAACATTTAATTTATTTTGTTTATTACAGATATAACTGCTGGAGACGTGGCTCTAGCATTAACACAAGTCTTCGGAGTATGTGGTCAAATGCAATGGGGTATCAGACAATGGGCAGAGCTAGAAAATATTATGACATCCGTAGAGAGGCTTCTGGAATACACTGATATTAAAACAGAAAATAAACAAGGGCTGCAACTAGAGAACTGGCCATGTAAAGGTTCTATAACTTACGAAAAAGTGTCTCTATCTTATAACGATAGTGACGAATTAGTTTTGAAAAATTTGAATTTCGAAGTAAAGCCAAATGAAAAGATTGGAATAGTCGGTAGAACAGGAGCGGGAAAATCTTCAATAATATCTACGATTTTCCGTTTATATGAAGTTCAAGGAAAAATTTTAATAGACGGAATCGATATTAAAACTCTAGAAATGCAATTTTTACGAAAACATATAGCTATCATTCCTCAAGATCCTATTGTATTTTCTGGAACGATAAGAACAAACTTGGATGTACGGAATGAATTTAAGGATAACGAATTATGGGAAGCATTAGAGAAAGTAGGAATGAAAAATTACATCTCCAGTTTGGACCAAATTGTGGGAAGCAGCTCGAACACAAATTTCAGTTCCGGACAAAAGCAACTTATTTGCTTAGCAAGGGCCATTCTTCGTAAACACAAAATAGTTGTAATGGACGAAGCAACAGCCAATATGGACCATGAAACCGACGTTATTTTACATAAAATTATTAAAAATAACTTTTCTGATGCAACTGTTCTTACGATTGCTCATAGATTACATGCTGTTTTGGAGTGTGATAAGGTTATGGTGCTGGATAGGGGTGAGATCGCAGAATTTGACGACCCAAATACTTTATTGGATAATAGAGATGGAATGTTTTATAATATGGTCAGACAAGCTGGACTTCTTAATTATTTAAGTTAATATTTATTACATTTGAATCATTAAGTTGAAAATATTTAAGTATATCAAAGACTTTTTCATTATAAAGACTTTTTGTAATAAATCAATCACAAAATCAAAATAATCAGTCTTTTAATGATTTTAGATCTCAAACACTGGTAAATATTTTCAAAATGTAGGGTATACATTCAAGAGTACCATTATTAATTTTTTTTATTAATTAACTACATATACACATAACTACATTACAATATTTATTGCTCAATCCTTACACGTTTTTACTATTTTTTAAGTAAGGCAGTAGTTAATAGAGAGTTATTGCAAGTTCACTTAAGGTCAGTCACTATTAGTGCCGCTCTTATTTTGACATCTGAGCATGCGCACATCACTAACTTTAACAAATATTGTGCCTATCCTTAATAGAGAGATATTGCAAATTTCTATAAAGCCAGCCACTAATAGTGACATCGTAATTAGAGTCAAATAAATTCTATAATAGTACCTAATATTAAAGAGGCATTAGAAATTATAATTTTAGAAGGTTTAAATGACGAGCGCATCCGAAAGCTATAAAGTGGCCACTACCTGCTGCCCTTAAACATCCACAATTAAGGATAGGCACAATCCTTAATAAGGTCAGTTTTAGAACATAAACATCTGCGCATACTTAGATGTCAAAATAAGAACGGCACTAATAGTGACTGACCTTAAGTGAACTTGCAATAACTCTCTATTATTGACTTGACACAAAGTATGCAGTGCTTTTTGCAGATTTAATAAAGTCTCCTGTAGATCCACAAATATTTACCTGACGCTCAAAAGCGAATAGAAAAGAAATGATGTAAATAGTATTATTTAGCCGGTGATTTGTGGCTTTTAACAATACTTTTAGTTTTAGTTTATTAAATATTTTGTACAAGTTGAAAGAATTAAAATAAATTATTAAAAAACCAATTGCAAATCTTTTTTTATTTATATTGTAATTAGTAATACTCTGTAAAAGCATCTTACTTCGTGTTGTTGTTATCCCCTATTTATTTATTCCTTGTACTAGATACCTATTGAGATTTATAGATAGGGCATTTTTCTATAACTTCAAGAGACAACCTACAAAATAAACTATTCATATAAAATTGTACTAGGGTCAAGAAATTTGGAAATAAACCTAACCTCAACAAATAATAATAATAATAATAATTTCTTTCCTGTGACGTTTTTTGATAACAATCGTTGAATTGTCACACATACTTCCGATTTATTAAAGTCGCAGTTTTGTTTAAACTTAGTTTTTAATACAATTCACAATTAAAATTGCCTCATGTTGATTTTTAGAATTTGACAGCTTGATTGGAAAGTTATAATATGAAGTAGGTAGATACGGAATAAGGACTATTTTGTAATATGACAAGTGAATACACTTTCATCATATTTTGATTAATTTTAAGTTAATAATTTTATATTTGTAGATTGACGGTATAAAAATGTTTTTATATCATTTACGAGTAAATCACGCTATTTTAAAAAAATGCCACCAAAACTAACTAGCTCGATTTTGACATATGTCGTAAAAGTGCAGACAGGTTTAGTACCGTCATTGCTTCTCTATATCTATGATTTAAAAGATTGATATGGCGCGCCCTACTTTGTGACGTCACGGTGTGCTTTGCACAAATTAGGATGATTTAAGTTATTTTATAACTGTTTCACTACGTTTCAGGCATCTGTTATCGTGTGACATCTCTGTTTAGCTAAAGATTTTCAATAATGCTTCTCACTCCTTCTGGCTCACTTATAAACACGCGCCACAAAAACGCGATTAGCCAGAGCGCAGTGGTGTACCCAAAAATAGATATTAATACGTATGAAAACAATAAAATTATTAAAATTGAATTTTTTATGTTATTTAATTTAAAATAATATGTTTTAATGAAATGTAACTGGATGTTCACTGCACAAATGAACCAATGGAGAAACCGACCCTGTCTATGGTTATTAGCTTCGTGTTCTGTGCAGGTTTTGTTTCCCAGCGTCACTCCAGAAACAGCACAGTTAATTAGAAAAACTCATGTCACCCGCGGAATTCGAACCTGAGAGATTTCGATCTTAAAGTCATGACTCTAACCACTGAATCAAGCCACCCCCAATTGAATGTTGTTGTTTTCGGATCAATAACCAATAGTTTTTCGGGAATTTAGCCCCATTGTTCACTATATTAAAAAAATTCTAAAAATCATAGGAAAAAAAATGTTCTATGATCACTATCCAAAGTAGGCGTTTCCAAACACAACCGCATTGTTGACGTTTTTCGCGTACTGACATTAAGTTACAGATTTTTCGCTCGCCGAGCGGAAAACTGTCTCAAGCGAAAAAGAATCACTTTTCGCTTTTAATACACAAATAGCTATTTTTAAAGAAACTTTAATATCCTAAATCTTGGAAAGTTGGAAACGATGCGTTATAATTTTTTTAATAATTTTTAAAAAGCGTTCTAAAGAAACTATAAATAAAGTTCACCGTTCAATTGTGGCGGCAATACGCATGGTCCAATTAAAAAATTGCCGATTATTCCTGCCCAAATATTAACTGATTGGCGCTGATATTGACAATGATGAACAACAGTGACATGAAGGTTTTCATCAGCCCATACATGCGAGTTATGTAAATTTACAATACCATTTTTGGCCACCCTGCTTCATCGGTAAAAAGAATAGTGCTAATAGAGTTTCTGTTTGTACGTTGCTGATCTAACAGGCAGTTTGCGAACTGGATTCTTCGAGGAAAATCTTTAGGAAGTAGTTGCAGATGATAAGGGAATAACAACTGTTATTTAATTACTTCAGCAATTGTCGTTTTTGTTACAAGAAGCTGCGCGATTAATCTTCGAGTGCTTATTGAAGGAGTATCAGCTACAATATCAAAAATATTTTCCTCCAATTGCACTGTACGTACTGTTCTTGTCACACCAGCATCAGTACTTGTTTTCCCAAAACTTCCTGAAAATTATTAAAGAAAGTCAATAATATTACCTTATTAACTGGGAATCGCCCACTAGTCTCTCTTAGACGTTGATCAAGTCGCTGAAATGTTTTCTCATTTGGAATATTGCGATTAGGATATCTTTCTTCATACAACCTTCTTGCTTCATAAGCATTGCAAGATGCAAGACCGTACATAAGATGCATATCTGCATACTCACTAAATGTGTATCCCATTATCGAATTAAATTTACCAAGATATTTAAAATTCAATAAATTAATATCGGAGTACTAAAAGATCAACGTGTCAACAAGATTTAAAATGCACACGTCAATGCAATTATTCGTTTATTTATTTCGTAGGTACCATAGTAACGTTTGTAAAAACAGTGCGTTAATACTGATAACAGTTCTATTTCAATGACTTTCCTATCACACTTTGCAGCAGACAAAAAAATTGGAAATCATGGTTTCTTTTTAATAAAAATAAGATATTAAATCTTTTATTATTTTTCTTTTTTTTTTTTCGAAAACTATTTATTTTATCGACAATGGAGAAGAGTACCTTTTCTTTAGCTTAATGTTCAATATATCAAATTTTTTTTTATTTAACTCCTTATCATAAAGGGTGTAAAAAATGTAAGCAATAAAATGTACAACCTGGTCCGCTCCTGGTAAACTAAATGTTTTAATGCTATCTGAATCCGAGAGACCTCCCACAATTTCCCGGACACCCCTATACGAAACGGTTAACCTATTTTTGGCAAGAACAGATTCACGGGAAAAATTTTTTTTTTTAATATTTGGTGTATATTTGAACAAAATATACAAAAAAGATAAAAAGAAATTTTTTTTTGCTTAGTTTTGATTTTACAGGCCCCTATTTTCATGTATATTATCAGATACGCCGCCAGCTTGGCGGCAATATTGTTTCGTATCCTACGAGATAATACGCCTGGTTAAGGATACATAATAATAATAATAATAATGTTTATTCAAAAGAAGAAATATAAATTATAATTTTTTACAATTACATAGTTAATTTAAATATAAACATTGGTAACTTGCTGAGGCATTGTAATGCCTGTGTGCGAGCTAGGATATTTTAAATTATTTTTTTTAAATACAAATAATATTCGATATAGAATAATAAATAAATAGATAAATTCATGATAAACAAAATAATGAAACAAGTAACAAAGCATATAATATAACATAAAACAAGTAATAAAACAAATAATAGAACATAATAAGCAAACAGTAGAACAAATAGTAACAGGCAGATAAAATATAGACATATTCGATATTTAATTCATAATGAAATATAGTTATTAAGTATTATTTTTTTTTTTTTAATTATTGAAGTGGAAAATTTATTAATTATAAATTATTTTTGATATCTTAAATCAATTAGGCTATTAAAAATATATCTGTTATTACTTGCTATCCAATTTTTTATAGCATATTTATAACAGGAAAGTTTATTAATATCCTTAATGTAATCTGGTAACATATTGGATAATCTTGGAGCAAAATACAATTATTTTGCTGTACCAATGTACAGCGTTGACCAACAGTCTTTGAAGCTATTTGAAGGTAAGTGCATTTACCTCTAGTAGGGTAATTATGTTGATGAGAAGTTACTTGAATTTTTCTTTTAAAAGTGTTTAAAAGAATGTTCATAAGTTCATAAGTTTAGTGTTCTCTCTGGTCAAACTGTACACTAATGACATAGGTGGCACGTTAGGCAGTTTATCGGGCATATAATTCTAAACCTTTTTAGAAGGAAAGTCAATAATGACTCTTTTTGCATAATACAGAACTGTGGATGTAGATACTGGTAACGTATATATTTTGGTTTTCACCACAAATAATAGAAGCAGTAAAGTTAACCATATTTTCGCAAGTCGCTTTACTTAGTAAAGAGTACGCGCCTTTAAATTCAAATAATTAACTTAAAATAATTCAAATAGGTAGGAAAACTATTTATTTATAAAAATCAAACAGAGCTTGTAATTTTATAAAAAAAAGTTAAAAATACAGAAAGTTGAAACAAAACTAAAACTACAATACGAATAAACAAAAAATAACGTAGCATTCATATAATATAAATTTATTGCAGAATAATAATCAAAATAGATAGAATCACTGAGTTCATTTACTAAAAATCAAACATAATTTCCAATTCTATAAAAAAAATTAAAATCACAGAAAGTTTATGCAGCCAGGTCTAACAAAAATTTTGTGCGGTTGGCCTACAAATAAAAATAATAATATAGTGTACGCCATTGAATTCCACGGGCGTGATTTTTTACCGAGTACTTGGTAGCGTGTCCCACCAGATACAACTTTAATTTACTATGTACTTGGCAGCGTATCGCCTCAGAAACATAACATTTTAGACAGTCTCTAATTTTTTTATGTTAGAATTATTTTACTAGGGTTTGCATGTAGTACAATAGTATTGATATATTTCTATGTGAATGCGTACTCATATCTTATTATCGGGCCTAATTTCAAAAAAAAATTAAAATTTATAAACACGTGTACTCACCATTTCACCAGTTCACCAACAGTTCACCAACATGCATCTGTTTAAAATGACATATCTCGACTAAAATGGAAACAATTGACTTCAAATCTAAACTGTCGTTAATACAGGGTGTGGTACATACGGTGTTGCTAACTAACATCATCCCCAAATTTAACGATTTACTACTTACAAAAAAATCGGGAAAATTGGTATCTTGAGAGATACGTCGTCAAGAAAAGGGTTGAATACAGATTTTTAAAGTAAACAACTAAAATTAAGTGTTCAAATTTACTTATTTTGAATTTTGCGACGCAGGTTCAATCCTTGATAAATTCAATCTTTGTTTATTTTGGAAATTTGGAAAAATCCTTTGGGTATTTATTTTAAATTAATTTTATTTGTTATAATATCACCCCTAAAATTAGGCAATTCGTTAAT